GTACTTTCTTTTAAACTAATAGATAGCCTGATAATCCCTAAACTATATTACTAACTTACTGAAGGTGTTGTTCGGTTTATTAACTGGTTTTATTGAGTTCGCAAATTGACATTGACAAACATTCTATAACTTGAATCTAGCGTACACATTGACGCAAACACGACCTGCGTTGTTGCCTTCGCCCCAGTTCTTCAGATCTTCCCCGTACCAGATCCTCATTTCTTTATGTAAGGGGAAGTAAAATGGTGTGCGGTAATCTGTAAAGATCAACTCGTCGGAATCCAAGGGGTGAACGAACGGCATCCAATACCATAAACCAGCTCTGTGCCTATAAATAAATGCCGATAAATAAATGCTGCTAAAATCTGTTTTTCTGTCTGTCTGTCTATTTGGTTGTCTGTCTGTCTTTCAGTCTGTCTGTCTGTTTCTCAGTGTTTGTATGTGTCTATGCGGTTGTCTATCTGTCTTCCTGGTTATCTGTCTGTCTGTCTATTTGGTTGTCTGTCTGTCTTTCAGTCTGTCTGTCTGTTTCTCAGTGTTTGTATGTGTCTATGCGGTTGTCTATCTGTCTTCCTGGTTATCTGTCTGTCTGTCTATTTGTCTCAGTGTTTTGTATATGTCTGGCTCTCTGAATGTCTGTACATTGCCAGCTTTCTCTCTTTTTCCTTTTACCTTACTTCGTGTCTCTTCTCTTTCTCTGCTTTTTTCCTTTCGTTTACCCCCTCCCTTTGTCCCATTACATTGTYCCTTTCTTCCTTCCTTCCCACTTCCCTTTCCTTTTTTTCCCATCCACTATTATTTTTTAAATGACTTACTTGATATATTGCTGCTTAGGAAACAAAACGTTGTTGTTATCGTCCGTCACAATGACATCGAGGGGAAATTTTTTAAAGTAGGCGTAATTAAAGCATCCCCACCGACTGTCGTACTTCACTCCCCCGATACAGCGCACCTTTCCCGACACGTACTCCAATTTAATGGCCGTTACCATTCTTCCTCCGACATAGTTGTTAAACGATCCGTAGCGGTTGCCTTTCGCTTCGAAACAGACAGTGTGAGGGCTAATTTTCACCCAGCCGGTCTCCCAACACTTTTGCCGACCTGAATCATCTACAAAAAACGTGGTTATATTTCAGTTCGGCGGCTTTGAATGACTAATTAGCATAATCGTGTGACGTCTTAATCGCCATGTTGGTTATGCAAATCTTGCCGCCATTGACATGACTTGACAAAACAAAACTTAAATAAATAAGCACCTACTTCTTAAAGAGCAAGCTAAAATGTGTGCTTCTTGAGACTTTTATTTATCGGCACAATCCCAATGAAGTTATATGGAATCAAAATTGACAGGTATTCGGTCAACTGAGGACTGACTAGCCGCGTCCTGTTCTTTTTTCTTCCACACCCATAATTCTCATGTATGCCTTCTCAAGAATTAGAATTTTTTACCTCAAACTTTCTGACTTTGTTGATATCATTAAAATCAATAAAAGACTGAATCTATAACTATTACAAATTATTAAAATTAAAGGACAATTACGACGCACAGACGAGTCACTTTCAACTGTTTTAGTGATTTAATAATAACTTATTGATATAGTTATAGACTGAGCGACTGAATTATGACTAGGAAAGAATAAATTAGAGTGAGAGGTCTATAGGTTTTCTTTGACTTTTGATTCGTTTTTGCCTGACCTGAGAATTAAATATAATGGAATTCGAAGGAATGAAGAAGACTTTCTAAGGCTTTATCCTTACTCAATATAAATCTTGGAAACGGCATACACCTATTTCAGAAAACTTTGTTGGTCGGAAATCTCAATGAGCGTCTGAGGCTAAACAGAATTTATTTACTTTCATGTCTTCTGGCTAAAATACGAAAAATCACATTTCTAACTCGAAGTTCATGCCATATTCCAATCTAAATGCAAATCAGTCTTTAAACCATTTGGTCATTGACTGACTGACATTCACTGATGAAAAGGACACGAGACTTGGTCTGAACCACTTCAGACATTGCAGTGCTCCATATATAAACGCTAAAAACAAACATTAAAGCTGAGATCAGAAACGAAATTAAGATGACCGGTATTTCTGGCAACGAAAGCATATTTTAGTAGAACCTCAAAATCATGTAAATCAGTTTTAAGAATAGCGAGCTATAGATTGATTGATTGCATAGAGTGCACGCCTTATGTCAATAAAACAACACCAACGATGTCTAGTCTAATTGCAGCTATTCAGTTGCTGCATTTTTTACAAAATAGTGGATTTGCAGAAGGCAGAACATTGGGAACAAAAGCGAATATCTCAACGCGTCTTTTTGTTTAGTTCATGTCTGAGTGAATTCTTAGCTATTTTACAACTAAATAGTTGATAACTAAATACTTTTAAGCACTACATGGCTAGTAATTGTTTCACTGTATCTTCAGGGAATGTCTCCTGCAAAAACATTATATAACAACATTTTGTAACATTGCCTGAAAGCTTGGAAAACAAAATGCAGAATGGTTGAAGACTCGTCAATCTATAAATACTATAACACCAATCTACAAGACAACACTAGGGTAGTTCTTACCATTGGCAACAGCGTCAGACACATCGGCCACCTCGGACACGTCGGCCACCTCGGACACGTCGGCCACCTCGGCACTGGTCACAATGGCCAAGACGAGAAATACAGCGTAGATCAACATAGTAAGGTTTTCGCTACAAACTTCGAAGACTGAGAGGGAAGTTCGTTAACGTTAGCTGAAGAAAACTCAACTGATGGAAAAACTAATGGTTTCTTTGTAATACCCTGAACTTGAAGAACCAATAACTACGAATCCTTTTCTGATTGGTTAGTTAGTTGACAGATTGTATCTAGGATATAAAACCATCGACCTCTTGAACTTGGGCGAGATATATCCATATTTATTATTATTTACTTGTTATCAGA